CACAACCTTAGACTTCTAAAGAAATACAACTCTTCATAAATATGGCTTTTCCTAAGATACACAACTCTACATAGCAACTGATACAACTAATCTGAACTTCCATACTTGTAGATCCTCCATGCTTGCAATATATCCAATATATGGAGTAATATCAACATTCCACGTTGAACCTCTTTGGGTTCATATTTGACACTGGGCTTTGTAACGATGAAGGCCCAAGAATGCAAAAGCAAAAGGAATTTGAAAATCTTTTCAGCAAGGCATGGGTCATATGCCTATGTTTGAAGTGATAATTGACAGAGGGCAGCTCATCCCAGCACAAAGCACTTTTCAAGGGTATGGATGAGTAAATAAGTGATGATTCATCACCCTTTGAAAGCCATCAGCTAAAGGCAAAGTTTGGACAGTCGGGCTAACTTGTCTATAACGGCAGAGGGACACCAGAGACAAAGACACTCAACCATTCAATCAAAAGATATTCAAAACTTTGCTCTCAGACAAGTTCGTACCTAGATGATTGTATTTTGTCCAGATTTCTCCTCTTTTAGTCATAGATTCCACTTAGAAAGTCTTTTTTTTTTTTGTAGTTTAGTAGCTCTACTACTCTCCCCCAGTGTTGTAGTATCAATTCTCTCTAAGTAAAACCTATTTACACTTTGTTCCCCAGATTCTACAAATCCATGTAAACCCAAAGAGAAGTGGTTGCAAGAAGTTGAACATTGCCCAACATAGTTAAATCTTGCCCAAATCTCTTTTGTTTGTACTTACTTAAAGTAGATCTATTGTTTAAGAAAGATTATATTTACACACTCCAAATTACTTCTCCTACACCCTTTTAATTTTTTAATTTTTTCTACACACCACTAACACTTGAGAGCAAAATATTAAAAAATTAAAAAAGTGTGGGAGAAGTAATTTGAGATGTGTTAATATAATCTCCCATTGTTTAATGCATATCTCGTTTTGTTTTTAAATCATTTCCAACTGTTTTCCATTTAAATCATTTCCAACTGTTTTCCACTCAAAAGTCGCATCTGTAATCAAAACTGAATAAGCTAATGAACCCGCATTCATTAAAGTGAACTTTGATCAAGGAAATGGTTGGAAGGATCCTGAACCCCTTTTATTTTGGGACATACAATATTACGAGTTAAAAGTCCTTGTTTACAAGGTAAGAAAATGAACTTTATATAGACTTAACTCATCTGTGACAATCCATTGATAATCAAGAAGTCTAAACAACTTGTGGCGCAAGTAATCAACTCATTTCACAACTAAACAACAATTTGTTATATAAATATAATAGTGGCACGCTCAGATCCTTGTTAGTTTTGATTATGAGCCTCAAGGCCTAACCAAAGGCCCTACAAAGACACCATTCAAACTAACAGCAACTCATATTGCAGCACACCAAGCAGCAAACCTTGTCCGACAGGCAAGAGCCCCAGAAGGCTGTGTGAGGGACAGATCCGGTCCGAACAGAACCAGATGCAGGTTCCCATAAATGTATACAATTCTTGCAGTCCCCTTTTAAAATCACACAAAGTATGACCTGTACATGAACGGTGTCTGCCCAAGATGCACATATATGTGGATTTTGTGTCATGGCGCGTATACGATTAACACATCCTTCATGAGCTACCTTGCGCAACTGTACATCAGAAGAAGAGAAATGGAAAGGCACGCAGATGCGACAAAAACTAAGAAAGATGAAGGTAAGCTGAATCAATTGTGGGCTGTAAAAAAATATTACCTGCAAAACAGGTGCACAAGATCCACCAGACTCCTCATCCTCGCTATCATCGTCACAATCACTGTCCTCGCTATCCATATTAGAGTCATCATCTGTGGCTTTGGCTGGCACTAGTTCGCTTTTTCCCGGAAATGTTAGATACTTCAAATATTCCAAGAGAGTTCCAAGCAGCTTACTCTGCCTGCAGAACAACAGGTTTATGTTTTCACCATCAATATTGAGTTGGTAAAAGAAATTAGATAAATAAATCAGTTAGACAAACAAAAAGATAAAGCTCACCTGAGTCCCTGCAACGAAATTCGCTTTTAGCGGTGAACTGGAAACCTTTAACTCTCTTGGAAAGCTTGAAACTTTAATTATTAACTACAACCATTACCCACAAATTAAGTATAAAACTGGAACTTCAATACATAATCAATGAAGGCATTTCTGAAAAGTAGAAATTATAATTTATTAACACAAGCTACAGGTTTAAGATTAGTTCAATTAAGTTATACTAAGTTCAACTAATCATGCTCCAATAATTCAATCCCACAATCCAAAATTCAAACTTTATGCTTTTCCTGCACTTTCTATGCAAACCAAAAAGAAGAGTTCATAAAATTCAGAGCAACCTTAAACAAGGCCAACCGATTGGAAGGCATGGAGAGAATTGTAAACTGAAGGGTCACACTGGAGCTCTTCGCCCTCCTCCAGCTTGTCCAAACCCGGCTGCCATACCTTCGCCGGCATCGACGGTCCCGAAGAGGAAGAAGACCCATCTCCTTTCTTTGAGCCCTAAGCAAAAATTCAAGTCAATTCAATCAAATCAATTGGGGAAAAGATAAAACCCGAAATTTACTAAAAAGTTAAATAATAAATGGAGAAGGTAGTGGACTATGGAGCTGACGTTGGCCCTTATTAGCGTTCTTAATGCTTCTGACCATTTCTGATTCTTCAGGTTTTCAGAAACAGAGACTGATGAAGGAAAAAGGAGAAAGCAAAACTGAAGAGGGATTTGGTGGGGGCTACGGTTTTAGCGTATTGCGCTGCCAGCAGTGCTCTCCTAAGCTCTTTTTTTTTTTTAAGGATCTGTAAGGACCTCTTTTATCTTAGTCAGAATTAATCTAACAGTAGAAAAACTATTGAGTTTATATTATCCTATTACACTAAAATAAAATCAAAATAACAAAAAAAATAAAAATAGGGTTCACGCTCATATTTTTGATGTTGAAGGAGAGCAACGTGACCCGATTTTACAGTTTCCTCGGAAAATTAAAATTCTCTTCGAAGCTACAAAAAGGTATTTCCTTTGTGGTTGTATTGATTTCAATTTCTCCCTCCTCGCTGTTGAAAAAAAAGTAGAATGGAAACTGTAATTTAATCGAGAGCACCATTCTTCTTTTAATTGGGTTTCATCTAATGCTCTCCTAATAGCACCATTCTATTTTATATTCCTTTGTGGTGATGGTTCAACCTCGACCCCATTCTTCCTTTTTTATTTGCTTCACTTTTAATTTTAATTGCAGATTGTTGTATGAGGGAAGCACAATCTTCCCAGGGACGATCTCTAACTGTTAGCGATGATCTTCAAGTGTGGGAGCATAGCAGTAAAGAGGGAGGGTCGGGACAACGTCCTTGACAAAAGATTTCCTCTGAGATTGAACGGGTTGCAAATTTTCTCCTCTCTCACGAAGCAGGAAGGAAGGATGAACGTGAAGCCTATTAGCGTGTTTTGATTTTGTTTTGGTGTAATAGGTTTATATAAATTCATAAATTTTTTTACCGTAAGATTAATCCTATGACTCATATAAAAGAAGTCCTCATACGTCCTCAGAAAAATAACCTTAGGAGAGCATTGTTGATGTCATGAATACTAATTATTGAATTATTACTAAGTGTTGGTAAACGTGTTTATTTTTTATTGTGACACATCATATAGTTTGCAATGTGGTCTAAAATGTTGATCTCTAGCATTAATTTTTTCTAATTGTTCAAATTTAAAAAAACAAATGGGATATTTGAACAGAAATTCTCATGGAAGCGGCATCAACGATCAATGCTCCATGTGGAGTAAAAAATAATTCAAATTTTTTTTAAACTGACACATAGATTTTTATCCACATGTGACGATAATGCCTCTGTAGGACCGTAGTAACACCTTTCCGTCCAGGAGCAATGATGTCAAAGAACATCATCCTCACATGTAGAAATGAAAAAGAAGAAATACTTTTGCATAGACGCAGCATGAATGCCATAATTTGACTAAAGATGAAATACTTTTGCATAGAGCAGCAATTATTGGATGAAAAAGAAGAAACAAAAGGAAGAAACAAAAGAAGAAATGAAGGGCGTGGAGAAAGGAACCAATAGTGAAGAAATGCACTATTTTCTTAATTTAGAGATTAAAATAAGATTTTTGAGATATGCTCTGCACAGACACACGACATGCACACTAATATAATAGAAATGAGATTTTTCTAAAATATGAAATGACCAAATTGCCCTTCCATATAAACGGATTATTGCAAAAACTCACTTAGTAGTTTCTCCTTCCTTGTCATCTCTTGCGATCCCCAGCTCGACAAACACTAACCCCAACGGCGCGACCCAAATCCTTCTCCAATTTTCCGACCCACGCCAAGTTTCCAATTTTTCACATGGCGCAACACAAATCCACACGGCGCAACCCAAATCCAAAAGAAAACAAAACCTGAGAGCTGTCGATCCCAAACGAGAAAAGCCTAATCCCATTTGCTCTAAAAAAACTCTCCGCACTCCTCTGGCACAAATATCTAACCCAATCAAAACAATGATTGGTTGAAATTTTCCAAATTTAATGAAACGAAAACCAAATTTGAATCTAAATTAATCAACAGAAACAAAGTTTATTGGAATTTGACTTGCATGATGGAACGGAGGCCTAGGGATTTCAACAAGCTGAAATTGGGGGAATGAGGGAAGCCGGACCTAAACACACCATTGTCGACCATAGCGAAGTTCGGAGGTGGCATATATGTCACTCCGCACCTCTCATTCTCGTCTCTGATCTCCAAGTTTCTAGTTTGGGATCAATGGCTCTCTCCGAAATCAGAAAAATGACGCAATGAGCTGTGAGTTTTTACAATAATCCGTTTATATGGAAGGGCAATTTGGTCATTTCATCATTTTGCTTTTGTGCATAGTGAGCATGGAGAGTGCATAGTCGTTTGACTGCCGGTGGTAAAAATTCTATCACTAATATGTGGATTTTGTGCCATGGCGTGTATACGATTAACACATCCTTCATGAGCTACCTCCCGCAACTATACATCAGAAGAAGAAAAATGGAAAGGCACACAGATGAGATAAATACTAAGAAAGATGAAGGTGAGCTGAATCAACTGTGGGATGTAAAAAAATATTGCGTGCAAAACAGGTGCACCAGATCCACCGGACTCCTCATCCTCGCTATCGTCGTCACTATCACTGTCCTCGCTATCCATATTAGAGTCATCATCTGTGGCTTTGGCTGGCACTAGTTCGCGCTTTTTCCCGGAAATGTTAGATACTTTAAATATTCCATGAGAGTTCCAAGCAGCTTTCTCTGCATGCAGAACCTTCACCATCAATATTGAGTTGGTAAAAGAAATTAGATAAATAAATCATTCACACAAACAAAAAGATAAAGCTCACCTGAGTCCCTGCAACGAAATTCGCTTTTAGCGGTGAACTGGAAACCTTTAACTCCCTTGGAAAGCTTGAAACTTTAATTCTTAACTACAACCATTACCCGCAAATTAAGTTTAAAACTGGAACTTCAAAACATAATTCAATACTACGAGTACAATGCGAGCATTTGTGAAAAGTAGAAATTATAATTTATTAACACAAGCTACAGGTTTAAGACTAGTTCAATTAAGTTATACTAAGTTCAGCTAATCATGCTCCAATAATTCAAACCCACAATCCAAAATTCAAACTTTATGCTTTTCCTGCAATTTCTATGCAAACCAAAAAGAAGAATTCATAAAATTCAGAGCAACCTTAAACAAGGCCAACCGATATGGAAGGCATGGAGAGTATTGTAAGCTGAAGGCTCACATTGGAGCTCTTCACCATCCTCCAGCTTGTCCACTCCCGGTTGCCATACCTTCGCCGGCATCGACGGTCCCGAAGAGGAAGAAGACGCATCCCCTTTCTTTGAGCCCTAAACAAAATTTCAATTCAATTCAATCGAATAAATTGGGGAAAAGATAAAACCCTAATTTTATTAAAATAATTAAATAACCAACGGAGAAGGTAGTGGAATTTGGAGCTGGCCTTGGCCTTTCTTTTGGCTTTCTTGGGGTTCTTGATGCTTCTGACCATTTCTGATTCTGCAGGTTTTCCAGAAACAGATACTCTGATGAAGGAAAGAGGATAAAGCAAAACTGAAGAGGGTTTTGGTGGGCTAGGGTTTTAGCTTATTGGGCTCCTGCCCCTTATGATAATAATATGCTATTTTTTCAGCCCAAAAATAATATATGACGCTTCAGTCCAATGGGCTTGTTTATTTTTTTTTTTTGGACAAACGATAATGTTAGTTGGTTAAATAGTTAGTTGTAAGTAGGAGGATATTCGATGGAGATCAAACTCGCACCATGGCGCATGTGCATGTTTTTATTTGTTTATTAGCAACTCAAAAACAATCATCATGCAATCCTTGGGGTAACCATGCATGTGATTCTTTTGGATTTCCAATTATAACCCTATGGGCTGGTTTGAGGTTGTGATGTTTCTAAAAAAAAACAACTTATTAAAAAACAGGGACATCAAATGTGTTTGGTTAAACAAAACAAAAAAATAAAAAATAAACTTTTTTAAAAATATTGTTGTTATTGGCAATAGAAAAATATAGAAAAGCAGAAGCAGAGTCTACTATGCTTCTTAAAAAAGTGTCTTTTTTTAAAGCATGCAGGTGAACAGTTCTCATTTAATGAAATTTTCAAATGGCAAATACACATTCGCATATGTTACAAAACTACATCCTTTGCCCCTACATTTATTATATTACATTCAATACCATATATTTTTTAGTCATTTAGCATAGTCACAACAGTTTTATATAAAAGTTTACCAAACACTTAGACACTGGTTGATTTTTTTTTTTTTTTTTTTTTGTGAAATACACTTTTACGAAAAAATTTTACCAAACTCTCAACAACTTTATTTACAGTTGTTTATTCTCACAACACAACAAAAGCAATTTAAAAAAAAAATAACAATACCAAACTAATCCTAAAAATTTCGACATTTGATCTTTAGAAACTAGAGTGCAAGGGTAATTGTTAAGGTTAGGGATGTCATTTTATTACCTGTTAAATTCTTTTCCCGCTGGTACTTACCACTCTTTTGGGGAGGATTTATGAATGGGTATATTTGAGTACGAGACAGATATGAAAAAACAGAAACTTGTTATTTGATCCTGAATATCTTTATCGTGATAATATACCGTAACCATCTTCCAGACAGTTCTTCTCCCAGCCCTAGTTATCGCTTGCATGGTGGCGCTCTTCAAGTGGTTAGAAAAACAAGAGAGTTATTGTAATACCAGCACCACTATTCATATATTATGCTACAAATATCAATAGACATAAAATAGTAAAGCTCCAGTTCCACCACTCCATGTCCAATTTGAAGATGATCCATAATTTGAGCTTTTAATTCAGAATATCGTTCTCATGCATGTCAAAGATTATACACTTTTCATAACAAAGACACACCACCGCATTGAAGGGAAACCAAGGCCGAGTAAAGCAACATAGAGAGGAAGCAAACCAATACCAACTCAAAACACACACACACAACAAAGAAATGCTCCAATTTACTCTTACTAATCTACTAATTATTTGTCCCAGCCAGTTGATCTCTTAGCTTTTTTTGTGCGGTGAGCACGCCAGACTACTTGTATGGAAGAAGCCGCAAAATACTCCACCTGAGAGTGAGGAAACTCCCTTTTAAAGTGCCACCAAAACTCAGCGACTACAGACTTCAAGTGGTTTGCCGTGATTGAAAATGCTTCAACTTTTGATTGGGACACAATGGTTGTAGTGCAGATAGGCAACTCAGGAAATGAGGCAACTTTGAATGCCCAAATTAGAAGTTCTTCTCCATAGAAATTATTTTTCTCAAGGCATTTGCAAACCCTTGTTTTACCTTTACTATTTGTGTAGGTCAAAGCAGTGCCTTGCCGGATGAACAGCATCTTCCTCAACGGTTCACCCTCTCGAATAATAGACACATCCCTAGTATAAATCTCCGACTTTAGATACTCAGATATTGCTTTCAACCCTTTTTCATTTGTACTTCCAAGAATTGGAACCTACACACCAGTGTGTAATTAGATACAATTAATTACGCATGATAAATATTATCTTTAATGAATGTACGTTACATTCAAAAATTTCTCGTTACATACTTTCTTTAGTGAGCTCATGCGGAGAGAGCACGTGGTTCTTGTTTGTTTTAATAAGATTGAATATGTCATTTTCATCTTCTGTCTCAATTTGCTCTACTCGGCTATTTTTTCCAATCCCTGCATGTTTAATAATCTATAAAGCAATTTCATGACGAGTTCATTAAATCCAAAAATAACGTACTTCATGAATACACAAAAAATTTGCATGAAGGAGCTTTAAGCCTTAAGCTTAATTAATGACAAAAATTTTGCTTGAAGTAGCACTGATCAGCGCACCAACCTGATTCACCCTCGAATTGAGATATACTAAAAATAGTGCCAAGCCACTTATAGAGATCATAACTGAAAAGATGATTTCGCGCACGTAGAAACTAGTCTGAAGGTTTGAACCAAAAGAACTGCAAACAAAAAAAAAAAAAAAAAAAGAAACGGAGAGCAATATATTTATTGATGACATTCTTTCAGAAAACATGACAGAAATTTTTTATGGAATTTATCTACAAAGACGAAGTTGATGAGAGGGTAATGATAAAAAAGACATTGATGAGCTTACGACATAAATATGCATATTAATTTCTAGGTGATTAAACATGAAAAAGTCATAAAAATGCAATCCTCAGGTTTCGGAGACCCCACCAAAAACAGTGCAAGATCTTTCTTGGATAATCTCTTGACGAAGCCAAATTAGATTGGAGAGCAGACTGATATATACCATAATCAAAAGCGAACGATGACGTATTTTTTTGAAGCTCTACCGAGCATTGTACACGTGGGGTACTGACATTGATTTTCAGAGAAGAACGACCACAATAAAAGTAAGAGTAAAATCTGTCAAGGTCACATATTGTTTCATCTTTACAGACATGCTCCCTCCAGCATTCTAGCTCTCGAATCACTGCAAAAATGTACCACATGAGTAGTCATTTAATGACTTAAATAAAAATTTTGTGTCCCTAAAAAAAAAATATTGCCTTTAATGGTAAAATCCTTATAATATAATCCTTATAGTATAATCCTTAAATTTGAAGTTTTTATGATTTTATGTGATAATTTGATTAGATGCACATTTTTTTTTGTTTTTGTTAACCTTTTTTTATTAATTAAAAGCATTAAATCTTCAATCAAGATTGTAAGTCTCGTTTTTCAATTAAGATGCACATTTTTTGTTTATGTTAACTATTTTTTTATTAATTAAAAGCATAAAAACTAAAAACATTAAAAACTTCAATCAAGATTGTGGGTCTCATTTTCCACTAAAGGTTGTTCTTATATAGTCCATATATGTGATGATATATACTATGTATCAGGCAAGTTCCTATACTTTAAGGACTCATTTTTCAATTCATTAGAGATTCATTCTGTCTCTATATTTATTTTATACAATAATTGTCCTTATTTAGAGACACCACTAGATATGCTGTTACTATTTGGGTGCGTGGCCTATGTGCACTGTCACAAAATCAACAAGATACATTGGACCCGTGCACAGTTTGATGTGTATTTTTAAAATTAAATGGCCAACAAAAAAGATACAGGTGTTACCACCCACAGACCAAGCATACGTATGTCACCATCGATGCTACATTCTCTGAAAACTTTTTTCATCACTGATCACACCCACTATACTCTTCAGGGGAGACGAATACACGAGAAAATTATAATTGGATTGATCTTCCAACTGGGCAAAACAGCCCTCGCCAGCGTGACAGCACTGGGCAAGACAACCCTTGCCAGCGTGACAGCAGTACCTGCTAGCAAGGCCAGCAGCAGCCTCAGTTGGATCTGTCTGAGCCCAGCTTGAGTGGGCCCAATTTGGGCTTGCCTACTCCAGTCATAAAAGAGCCAGTATGTAGGCCCTAGCCTGAAAATGGGCCTGACAAACTGCAGCTGCCCACTGAACAGTGGCAATAAGGCACCGAGTGGCAGCAACAGAATGAAGAGGTTACTGACAGCCCAAGCGCACAAAAACAAATAAAATAATAACCCTCCTCTAGCGGTATCTGTCCATGTCCTCGAGAATATCCATGAGGTACGTACATCTCAATCTGATGTAACTCAAAAGTTGAACAATATTGATAGTACTTATATGTTACCTCCTAGATAAAATCGTGGAAAACCACCTGATAGGTAATCTCCCAATGAAAAAGTGAGATATGCCTTTGCAAAGTATGTGTCTACTCATCGATGGTCACCTAAGTACCAAGCCTTGGTGAATAATATGGAAGGAATAAAGATTCCAACAAAAGTCGAAAAGGCCTTGCGAGATCCTCAGTAGACAGAGGCCATAGAGGTCGAAATGGAGGCCTTATAGAAAATAGAACTTGGAGTGTGGAGTCATTACCACAAAGGAAAAGACTTGTGGGATGTAAATGGGTTTTCACTATCAAACACAAAGCAGATGGAACCATAGACAGATACAAGGCAAGATTAGTAGCTAAGGGATACACACAAACGTTCTGAGTCGATTATCAGGAAACATTTGCCCCGGTTGCGAAAATGAACACTATTAAAGTTCTTCTATCCTTAGGTGCTAACTTTGATTGGCCATTGAGATGGTTTGGCATAAAAAAAATGCTTTTTTACATGGGAATTTGGAAGAAGTGTACATGGATTTTCCACCTGGGTACGAAGTGAAAGATGGAGTAGGCAAAGTATGCAGACTGTGAAAAGCTCTTTATGGACTCAAAGAGTCACCAAAGGCCTGGTTTGGAAGATTCACTGATGCGATGAAGAAATAAGGCTACCGATAAGGGAATGCAGATTACACCTTGTTTATCAAATGCAGGGAAGGTAAGGTCATCTTGTTAATAATATATGTAGATGATATGATGGTTACAAGTTACGACACAGATGAAATAAAAAGATTACAAGAGTATCTCTCTTCGAAGTTTGAGATGAAAGATCTAGATCATTAAATTTGTGATAGCGTCCAATGACAAATCACATAAACCAACAAAACTCACCAATCACAGTCCGCCAGAACATCCCCA